ATTTCGTGGTGTTTATAATAATCGCATTTCTCGTTCCTTCTATTTCCTCTGGCAATCAAACTGGTTTCAATATTTTCAGTCTTGCGCTCCTAAGCAGTGATTCATTATATTTCGATACCATTTGTATTTTTCTTTCGTGAATATTAATTATATCCACTAATGTTCCTTTACTTCCTTTTTTTTAAGAATTTTAAAAATATTCAATAAAGGATTATGGGTAATTCCACGGAAGTGTCAACTTTTAAGTGAAATTTTTTTTTTTATGAATTGCATATTTTAATTTTAAAAATATGTTCAAAAATAGCCAAAGTCTACATATTGCCGTTTCATTTTTGATAATTTTAAATTTTTTGAATCTGGCAGCCTTCTAAAGTAATCACATGGCTGACAAGTGAATTGTTCACATTTGTGCTCAAATTGTTTTCTTGAAGAATACTTATAAAATAAAAGAAATGTATCTTTCTTTTGCAATATTTTGATAAAAATATGAATATAGAACAAAATGTAAACATTTTAAGTTTAATATATAAAATAAACGTAACTTCTTTTACGTCATTTCGTCACATGTCTTAATAATGCATAAATTTCCTGAGAACGAAGATAAAATGTGACATTGGAAAGTTAGATATAATACCTCTTCAGAGACAACCTAATTTTCAAACTGTTGAAATTTTTACTAATTCTTACATAAATATTAAATTCACATTTTACATTGCTTACACATTATACTAAAAGTATAAAATAGTTCAGAAAAATAATAGCTGCAAAATTCGCAGAAACTAGTTCTAAGCGGCATGCCAAAAGCTTGGTTGCCAAAATGTCATTCCGTCACGCAAATAAAAAGTTCGTAAAATTAAAAGTAAAAAAGACGGAAAATCCTGTTTTTTTAGTTTATGAAGCGCATTATGCCAATAATAATGATATGCATGAGAAAAAAAAAATTTCTTTTAAATTAGATACATAGAAACTTCAATTAATTGTTATTTTGCAAGTCAAAATGTCATTCCGTCACATATGGAATTGCCCCTCTATTACTTAACGCAATATATGCGTATATTTTCATATTCTTCATTTACTGAATTAAATAAAGATTTCATAATACTTTAATGTTCCTGTGTATTTACATTAAAGCCCTAAAAACAGGACTAAGTGCTTGTTCATGGTTGGATGATGAGTGTTTATGAACTAGCTATTTTTTTCCTTACCGTGGAAAAACAAACTATCCCAGCCATTAGAGTAATTAAAACTATTTATGGAATGGAAAAATTGCAAAATTTTATGTTTTTTTAATATAAATGTTTTTTTAAGCCTACAAATGAGTGTACGACATATTTTTTTTTTTAAGAAAAGGAAAACTGCAGTTTTGTGATGCTTTATAGTATATTGGAAGATCTTTACATCACTGCCTCGATTTTAATTAAATTCACTTTATTCAGAAACTAAATTTTTTAATTCTGAAACATCTTTCAAAAACAAGAAAAAAAGTTTAAAAAAGGGGGAATAATGTATTTAAAAAATAAATTCCACTCTCAAAATGAAACAAGAAAAGTATTACTTCTAAATAAATAAAATGTATATAGAATGAAGGAATTAACAGCGAATATAACTTTCATAATAAATTACAAGCTTATAAATAAAAAGTAAACTATCGGTTTTTAAAACGCTCCCCATATCAGTTCTTCAAAAGGGCAGTGAGAGAAAAAGATTTCTAAAAAGAGTTGAACAGAGTAAAAGTATTTGGGAGGGAGGAAGACCACCTACGAAGAAGATTAGACCGCAATCGTCTCCCGGAGAATGAACTTGGGGGAAGTTGCTGTCCTCCCTCACTCAAAGATAGAAAGTGACTTGAGTTTCAAAGGCAATATTACAAAAAGTAATAAAGATTTAAAAAAATTGACCCACATTTTCGTGGATAGGAAATATTGAAAAAATTATTAGTATTTTTTTTATTGATTACTCTGATTCTTAAACAAGAAAAATTTATTCAAAGTATGACAAGCCCGCCATAGACTTTACATGTTAAAAGCAGAATTGAGGAGTCTGCTTGGTTCAACACTTTTCTTCCAGCAACCATGATTGGGGAAGCGACTTTCTCCTCATATGAGCGTGCCCCTAGCTCTTTGATTGCTAAGGTATGAAATATGGATGTTAGGAAGGAAATAAACTAAAAAAACTTTATTATAATTAAACAAAATTGCATATTGCCAAATTTTATGTATTACAAACACAAAGAATAAGAAATTTTAATTCATTCCTCAACGCACTTTTTACATATACAGGGGGTTTCCATTGTACATTTTCCGCAAACATATTTCTTCTCCTTATTATTATTTCTATAATTCTTATAATTATTCTTGTAATTAATATTATTTCTTCTAAGAACTTGTGCTGTCTTGTTTCGAAAATTTTTCTGGGTAAAAATTAATAGTTAGAAATGAAATAAAGCTATCAAAATAAAATATAAGCTACTTACCAAAACATTTAGTTTTTGTCACTTTTTCTTACACAAAAATGCCAATCTAAAATTTTAGGTACTTTCTGGAAATTTTAATTCACAGTTATTCTGATTGAACTAATTACGTAAGTCTTTGCAGAAATGTGCAACTAATCAAATGCAGCATGTTGAACACACATTACATCGTAATTTCAGATCCGATATCCTTATAAAGCAATAAATTGTTCTTCCGGAAAAATTACCAGTTGTGGTAGAAATTGGTATACGGCAAGTATTATTCGAAACAAACAAAACACAAAAATAAATAAATAATAGAATATTAACTGTATATAATTCTTAGAAAAAGTCATAAAGTCAAATGTGTTAAAACAATAAGATGATAAGCGCATTTTAGATGCAAAAGTTCTTAAACAGTTGTTAGACTGGTTATGGTATGTTTAAGTGTTAAAGAAAATCCTTCAACTCTAGTTAAGAAAAAAAGGCAAAATTAAATTACATTACCAGAATTTTTGAACATTAGCACATAGATTGTAACGATGATGAATAGAATTATTTAATGGACTAGATTTATGAAAACACTGATTTGTTTTAATGCAGCACCGAATAATAAAATCATCACCCCTATATCCATATATGGCAGTACTTTTACTTTCGTTACTTGTACCGCCGGTACAAGTAAAAAGTACGTACTTTTACTTGTACTTCGTTACTTNCTATCCAATTTACAACTGATTTTAATTAAGTAATTATTTCTTATAGTAATTAAGTAATTTCATTATAGTAATTAAGTAAAGAAGCATTGTTTCAACCAAAAAATAAGTGAAAGAAAACATTTTCTATGAATTTTAAAACCACTGATTTTAAGCCAAGAGATGTTGATTCCCTGTGAAGAGCTGCGTAACCATTTCTTCAGCTATTTTAGTGATAAATAAACAGTTTGAAGTTTTAAATTTCTTCTTCCATTTTGCACACACTTTCAAAACCGTAAATTTATTTCACAAATTTTTTTTCGAATAATTTCAAAGAACAAAGGATGTTCATACGATATAAGTGATATCAAAACACTAAGAGCATTGCAATAGCCTTAGCTGATAGAGGAGGCATATTTCCATACAGCACGTGACATCATAATTAATCAGGGATCGTTTTTGACTGCATCACTTATGGAGACCTTTTTGAGCAATTTAAATGATTAATAATTAAATAAATAAACATTGGAGAAAAATAACAATTAGATTTTTGGATTCAGGACAGAATTTCCAATAAGTTAGGGTTGTAAATTAAAAAATTTAAGAGATGCTGTAATTGTCCATTGTCTGAGAATTAGACGATTATGACAGAGGAGGTTTAATGGTGTGAGCAGGAATCATATTGAATGGTTTACTTAAAGCTCTGATGGCTTTATTAATGTTATTTGCAACCCGAAAGTTGCAAACCTGAATAATTAAAAATTACTTCATGAAAAAAGTATCTTTGATTTGATTTCATTTATAATAGGACAATGATAAAATGTAGGGCTACCAAATTTTCATAAAACCCCCCCTTTTTTTTTAGCTTACTTTCCTTTTTTTTTCTTTTTAGCTTGGATGTAAAATTAATGCCAATTTATTAAAAAAAATTTATAATGCAATATGTTGTAAAAAAAAACAAGAAAAAAAACTAATATTGCCATCCTTCATGTCTATATACATACTACAGATTTAAAATCAGGGGTCTGTTTAGAAGAAATTTGGGTCCGTTAACGGACCCTTCACAAAATTTTTTAACTTGACAACGGACCCTTCACAAAATAATTTATCTTTTAATCGGACCCTTTACAAATTTGTTTATCTTCATTATTGTTTTGTTAATCGAATAAACCCTTCCCAGGAAGGGGGGGAGAAAGACAGATGTATATGAACTAAATTTTGTTTTCGGCAGACGCTTCTTCCTTTATTCGTCCGAAATGAATATTCTGCGTTCAGCAGTATAGGCTAAATACCAAATATTTATATGTTGAATCGCTAATTTAGTAGCGGCAATTGCTGTTTATTTCTTAAAATTTAATTTCTTTAACTATAATTTTACAGTGTTGAGCATAATCTTGTATGTCTTTACAATTTAAAAACTCCTTGAGAAAGTTTTTTTGCAATAACGGATCCTATTTGCCCAGATTCACAAAAGCGGACCCTGGTTGAAAGAATGTGACTTAACGTTTATTTTATATTCGCAAATTACGAGCAATTTTTTCACAATTTTACAAAAACGGACCTTTCACAAAATGTCTGGACAGACCCCTGAAAATTGTGACGTTTCTTAGCACTAATCACAATTCAATCACTGCTGCTTTGTGGTAGTATTGGGGATGACACCTTATAACAAAACAAAACAAAAAAAAATTAGCCAAATATTGGGGAAATCACTTGAATGTATTTTCGTATTGAAAATGACCCTAGCTTTACAACTTTTCCAACTGAGAAAAATTGTTACAGCAAACTGCTATAAGCTAAGCTTAGGTTCCTGAGAATATTGATCTCTATATTAGAGTAACAGTTTGTTTACTTACATGAGCCACGCTTAGGAGTGCCAAAAGGTGAACTATTACGTAAACCTAAAAAAGAAATAGATTCAAACAATTAAAAATTTATTAATTTCATCGATATCAGATATTTTATATAAATATTAATTTTACCAAAATAACTTACTTTCTTCTTGCATACGCGCCACTTCTTCAACATCACTGGCAAATTCCAGAATATGGCAACTAGATAAGGAATCAGAGCTTCGAGGTCTACTTGAACTATGTTTTTCATTAGTTTGTCTATCTGGATCGACAGTCTTTTTAGATCGAGTGAAAGTTCTGGTATCTACATGACCTAAAAAAAAACCTTTCCACATTCAGATATTTTATTAAATTCTAAATTATAATATACAGTAAGCTATTACTGTTTTGGCTACAAATTGGGCTTGCTTACTTTTACAATTGTTTCTTAAATCAAACCACAAACTCGCCTCTTGCATTACCTGTTTATTAGTAAAAATCTCATTGTAAAAGAGAAAAAGCGAATAATAATAAAAAAAATTAAGTCTGGTAGTTATTCAATTTTAGAAAAATATTTCCTTATTTTGCAAGTTTATTTTTTTAAGTATTTTAAGCAAAATACATTTGAAAGCCACTACTCTTGAATCATATGATATTTGTGTAATTGATAATGATTCCTAACAACCAAATAGTTTTCCTGATTAAAATAAAAGGATCCTAATTTACTAATCGTAGCAACTTACTATACTTTGAGGGTCGAGAATCTGAATCTGTATCAGAGTACTTTTGCATCTGGTTTCGTAACTTAAAGCATTGTTTGCACTTACAGTGTAAAGTCGCGTATCCGGAATCGGTGGGACTTCCAGAAGTCCGTATAATAGATTTTTCCGTATAATAGACCCCCAAGGTAAACAAAGCTTAAAATGATTTAATAAACGATCTGAATCTAAGAAGCAAAAAATAAATAAACGTTATTTTTAAGGGGAACAATGTTTTAGCATTAGAATATCTAAATCAAATATAAAATATTAGAAAAAAAATATTATTGCTGAAAATATGGAAAACGAAAAAAATTTAACAGTTATGAAAATATTAATCCGCCATTTTGAACTAGAACGATTCAAGCAGGAAGGGGAAATTCATGTCATTCTGGAACAAAGCTTAAAATGATCTAAATCTAAGAAGCAAAAAATAAATAAACATTATTTTTAAGGGGAATAATGTTTTAGTATTAGAATATCTAATCAATAAAATATGAAATATTAGAAAAAAAATATTATTGCTTAAAATATAGAAAACGAAAAAAAATTGACATATGAAAATAATAATCCGCCATTTTTAACTAGAATGATTCAAGCAAGAAAGGGAAATTCCCGTCATTCATTAAGGTGGGTAGGTGGAGGAGAAAAATTCATTTCCTCCTTATTTGTGAAAGAAAATAAGTGTAAAGAGGAGATCATTTAAGTTGAGGGTGGGGAAGTAACAAATTATTGTTTTCTCTCCAATCATTGGCTATCAATCAAGCATAAAGGCGGGGCACGCTGATCGGGTTCTCTTTATTTTTTCTTCTATGACTGAAAGAATCTGCTAAAGAGAGAATGTTACCCCCTTTTTCCCCCGCCTCCTAAATATTACATGGTATGGGGAAGAACGAATGTTTTGTTTCTCAAGGACGTATATCCTTTTAGACCTATTCAAATTTTCCATTTTGACTCCCCCTCCACCTTAACGCTTGCCCCGTTTACCCTTTTCCACAGTATTTCTTCTTTCAATAAAAAGGTTCCAGGAAATGCCTCTTTTACTAGCCACCTGCATGGGAAAGGAGGGGGGGGGGGGACTCAGTTGCAGTCTTTTGAAAACAAATCTCCCTCTTTTTCCTACATTCCAAGGGAGGAGCGTCACTAACGGTCACTCAATGGTCTTGGTAGATCTTCACTTCCCCTTTCTGGTGATTTATGGGTTCGATGCATAAATCAGAGGTTCAGTGCAAGCTAGAAAAAGAGAAATCATGTCAAAAGACCTCTTTTTTTTAAAGAGAGGGGAAGACGAAGATATGTTTGTTTATTTTGATTGTTAAAAAGTGTCCGGGAAATCGACCCTTCCGAAAAGGGGCGTCCGGATATGGGACGTTTTTGAGTGAACCTTTTTGAGTGGAGGGCCACTTACCCAGCAGGTACACTATTGATATACTTTCTATAAACTAATACTTTCTTCCCTTTTTTATCAAAAAAATATAAACACTGGGGAAAAACTTCTTTTCTTAATCATATCACGCAATAAAAAAGTTCATTTTAAAATAAATTCTAACAACAACAAAAAAACTCCAATGCTCATTGAATGATATATAAAAAATTAAATACATATTTCAATGAGTAAGAACTTGAAGCTGCAATATTTACATGCAGACCCATTATTTGATTAATTCTAAACACCTGGGCTACGAACATGAATGTTTGCTAGAGTGTTGTACTCAAAACTCCTAAAATAGTTCCAGCTCTATAAATTTATTTTCAATTCTAAATGCTATATAATTCATCATTCCAAAGAAAAAAAAGTGAAGTGTGGATGACTTGCAAAGCTGATAATTCACCCGCAAATAATCGGAAGTTCACTGTATATATATATATGCTACCAAGAATGAACAAAATAAGAGAACGTTAACCCTTTGATGGTTATGAACGAGTTTGGCTCGCAGTCAAATCGTGCTTCATAATGCACACAAACGAGTTCCACTCGGGAGCAAGATTTCGACCGAAATGGTTAGAAACGAGCACTACTCACGTAGTGAAATTTTTCCCCAATGCGCACTGACAAGCTGAGCTCGCTCACCATTATTATTATTCTGCATTGATCATGTTACAAACGAATCCTACTCGTGAAATGTAGTTAGTTTTACTGTCTACAGATGGCAGTAGGGGTTCCATGAATTTCTTTTCATAATGAAGGGGAATTTTTTTTTTTTACCTTGTTCTTTTTATGTGTATTTTGGCACGTTTTTTAGGGTGTTTGTAAAGTAAAATGGCTCTAAAGCGAAAGTTAGATAATTATGATGATGATTATGATTGTTAAAGATTTTTATGTAATTACTGTAATTTTTTTATAGCGTGTACAAAAATATTTTTAGGTAATTACTGCATTTAAATGCTTCATAAAATTTTACATTAGTTGCATTTATTTAGTCCTTTCAATTTAATATTTGTCTTATATTTATAATTAACTACTATTATTTATATAATTGATTATGATAATTTATAATTCACTATTAAATAATTATCATTTATTAATTACTTTAAAGTACCTAAAAACTGCTATTTATGCACTACAAATACTACTTTAAAACGTGTGAGGCAAGCTATCTACAGCATCGCCAGAGAAGGGTGACATTTTTGGAAGAACAAGGGGGAAAACAGCTGCCACTTTCGACTGCTGTTTACCCATAAGACTGCGTGAATTAAGTAAAGAAAACTGCCCGTTTCCCTTACCGTCAAAGGATTAACTTTCACCTATGAATATCAACAATCACATAGTTGCTTTGGTGAATGTCCAAAATATTTCTTATATCTGATTTGATATTAATTTATTTGTTGATATCATTGTATTTATTCAATATTTTAATATCTGCTGAGAATAGATTAGGAGCAACATCAGTGTTCGGAGTACAGGTTAAATGCATACTGGGCAGTGGCATTTGACTTTTAAAAATTCAATCCCCGGTAGAAATCAACAACCACCAATTTTGGTTATTCACAGTAGCATATATATATATATGTAAAATGATGCAGTCGGACCGAGCAGGGAAACAGACACAGGATTTTAATTAAATCAGAGTAACTTTTATTTGATCATTCTTAGTTGAGTGGGAGCGAAGAAGTGATGTTTACTCCATCAGCAAACAGTCTTTCTGGTAGGGAAAATCTTGCAAAAAATCCTAAAATGTCTCTATTTAGGGAAAAGAGGGAAAACTCAGAAATTACTATTGGTTAATTAAATATATCACGCGATTCTCACAAGGCTTAAAAGGAAAAATATCTTTATTTAAATTTATG